TACATCCAAGTCCTTAACTTCTTAACACATAGCCTGAATGTATTCCTTAATTGTATCCCAAATTGGTTCTAAATTCTGATAGAACTTACATTAATCTCCATGGAGAGTACAATGTCTTGCCCGAAGGTTAAAGCATAAAGAGTAGTTCCAGTTGCTATCCTCTTGGAAGTTCTATAAGTCCATAAAGTCTCTCCTAATTTCTCATGCCACTTCTCTGGACTCTCGGCCACCATTCTTTTAATAATGTTCACCAAAATCTTATTATTGGCCTCTGCTTAACCATTTGATTGAGGATAGTAAAGACTGGACTGAATCATCTTTATCTTGAACTTACTTGCAAACTCCTCTACTTCCTTGAAATAAAAGTTACGCCCGCAGTTTGAGACAATTGTTTCGGGCACCCCAAATCTGTGTAAGATTTTGGTTTCAATAAACTTTTTGACAGCAGTTGAAGTGATAGTTTTTACAGCTAAAGCTTCCACCCACTTGGTAAAGTAATCCGTGGCTATAATTATGAACGTGTGTCCCTTGCTAGAAGTTGGATAAATTTGCCCGATGAAGTCTATTACCCACCCTCTAAAAGGCCAAGGCTTGACCATAGGGTTCAACTGTACTGAGGGCACATGTTGGAGAGGTTCATGTCTTTGGCATTCTTCACACCCTCGGGCATAAGCTTTGCAGTCTTTCTCCATCTTGGACCAGAAATAGCCATATCTTCTAAGCAACCATCTCATCTTAGTTCTAGTTTGATGTGCCCCACAGATTCCTTCATGTACTTCGGCAATTACCCTCATTGATTCTTCCTAGCCTAAGCACTTCAGCAGCAGTCCATCTGGAGTCTTTCTTAGAAGATTTTCCTCCCACAAAACATACTTAGTTGCTTGTCGTCTATTTTTCTTACTTGTGGGGAAGGATGGATCTTTCAAATATTGAACAATAAGTGTCATCCAATCCTCTATCTCCATTTCTTCAATCATTACATCTAGGTTGAATCCCCTTTCAAAGATAGACGGGAGATTTCTTTTCTGAACTTCTATATCCCCTTCAAACTTCCTTTCTTAGATCTGTGCTCTAGAAGCCAATTGTGCCATCTCATTCGCAATTGCATTTGACTCTCTGGGGATATGGCTGACTATATTTTAGTGCCCTAATAGCTTAATAGTTGTGTAAATGCCAAATAGTAACCTGCCATGGTGATGTGTTTGCACTTTTATTCTCCATTTAACTGATTGATTACCAATTCTGAATCACCAAACACCTCAACTTCAGTTGCCCCCTACTCTATTAAGATTTCCAGGCCAATTATCAATGCCTCATACTCTACTTGATTGTTGGTAATCTCTTGATAATCTAGGATGAATAAATAACAATGGTGAGAACCTCTGGGATCAATGATGACAATCCCAACTCCAGCAGCATTTTGAGTGCAAGAACCATCAAAATACAGTCTCCAAGGAGTGATCCAGAGGCTAGTTATTCTTTTTATCTCTTGCTGGATCCATTCTTCTCTATCTGAGAAAGCTTGACTTAATGGGATCCACACACTAGCAGCCTCTAGACTTCTTGGGATGTTGATAATCTCCTATTGAGACTCTTGGTGCTCAGCCAAAAAGTCTGCAATTACTTGTCCCTTGATTGCTCTTTGAGGCACATATTGAAAGCTGAACTCTAATAATACTAGAATCCACTTTCCAATCCTTCTAGTTAGCATTGGCTTTGACAGCATGTACTTGATCACATCTGTCTTAGCAAGAATGTGGATGTGGCAAGGTAACATGCAATGCCTTAGCTTGCAGGTAGTAAAGTATAGAGCCAAACACAACCTCTCCAATGGTGTGTATCTTGTTTTTACTTCAGTAAGGATTCTATTGAGGTAGTAGATTGCTTGTTTTTTTTCTACCGTTATTATTTTGAGCCAACAAGTTTCCCATTGACTTCTCTCAGGTAGAAATGTAAAGTTTTAAAGGCTTCCCTCTCTAAGGTGGCATGAGCACTGGTGGAGAGTAAGCCTTTATGCTGTCGAAAGCCTCTTGATGTGGTGGGCCCCACTCAAACTCTTCTTTGTCTTTCAATCTTAGCAAAGGATTTAACGGCTGAATCTTGCCTGCCAAGTTAGCAATAAATCTCCTCAGAAATTTGATTTTACCTAGCAGCCTTTGTAACTGTACTTTGTTGGTAGAAGGAGGTGATTTCATTATTGCCCGAGCTTTGTTCTTGTCAACCTCTACACATCTTTGATGAACAAGGAGTCTCAAAAAGTTGCCCGACCTTACCCCAAAAACACATTTCTTTGGATTCATTTTTAGCTTATGGATCCTCATTCTTGTTAAGGCTTGTCTAAGGTCTACCAAGTGATGTTCTTTAGTTTTAGAATTCACCACGATGTCATCAATGTATACTTCCATGGTATGGCTGATCAAGTCATGAAAAATGGTATTCATCTCTCTTTGATAAGTTGCTTCAGTATTTTTTTAGCCCGAATGGCATTACCAAATATTCATATGCTCCAACATGACCTCTGCACCTAAAAGCTATTTTGTGTATATTTTTTGTAGCCATTTTTATATGATTATAACTGGTATTCCCATCCATGAAAGATAGGACTTTGTGTTTAGCAACTGCATCTATGGATAAGTCAGCCATGGGCATAGGATATTCATCTTCAAGCGTAGCTCTATTAATGTTTCTATAGTCAACATAACATCAAACCACATTAGTTATAGCCTTTAATATAGGTACAATGTTGACCAACCACTCGACATATTTGGCAAGCCTAATAAATCCATCCTTTACCAGCCTCCCAATCTTTTCTTTAACTTTTTCTTCAATCTCATTTGACATCTTCCATAGTGCTTGCTTCATAGGTTTGACATCCTCCCAATCTCTACTAAGGTTGAATCTAAACTTGGTATCTCAGTGTAATGCCAAGTAAAACAGTCTTTAAACTCATGCAGAAGATTGACTATCTTTGCCCAACCTTCAACTTCCAACAGGCCATTGATCTGTATAGGCCTTGGATCTTCCTTAGTCCCTAAATCAGTGGTTTCTAAGGGGTCTTGTACCTCTGGTGGTGGCTTGTCAGGTTTTGCACACAAAAATTCAACTAACTCTGGATTCTTGAGCAAGTCTTCAGGCCCATCCAAGTCATATATGCATTCAGCCATTTGTATGGCTGCCTTAAACTTTCTTCCAAAAAACTTTTCTTCACTTTTGTTCTGGTTGCTTGAAGCTTCTTTTTCTTGTTCCTCGGTTAAGCTCTCTCTTTCTTGCTTTCTTTCTCTCCCATACACCAATAGACCTGACTGCAACTACTTGGTTCTTTCTTCTTTGTTTTGACATTACTGGTGTTGGGAAGTTGGGACAATATGGGGTCTATCTCATTCTTCCCTTGTGAGGAACAATCCTTACTCCAAAAGCTTTTGGACCATCATGTTAGTCGGCGGCCTTCTCATCAGCTCCTAAGCACTGGAGAATCTCAATATAGGATTATAAAAGCTAGCTTCTGCCACATTGGCAGTGTGGAATAATGGCGGTGACTTGGCCTCCACCATTTCCCAAAATCCTTGTTCCATGACTCTTTCCTCGTGGTAAACTGCTACCTATTAGTGTAGGGTGGAAGGTACATAGAGACTCTGATGAATCCAATCTTGGCCTAGTAAAGCTCCATAAGTGGAAGTACTATCCATAACAAAGAAGCCTAGCATGATTTGCTTAGAGCCCAAGTCAACCTCCAGGGGCAATATCCCATGAGTTTTAGTGATGGCTCCAGAGAAACTGGAAACTGTTAGATCTGTGGGGATGAGATTTTCCTCACTTCTAGACAACATTTTCATCTGCTTATATGGTAACACATTGACCGCAGCTCCTCCATCAATCAGAACCCTCTTGAAGGGTACTTCCTCCAGATAAACAATTACATATATAGGCTTAAGATGGTTTGCTAAAACCAAACTTGGGCAACTGAAGACCATTTTGTCCGAGTATACTCTCTCGGACTATTTTTTGTGAGCTCAGGCAAACCTATTATGCCCGACTCCTCTTTTCCCACTTCTTTAACACTGACATGTGCCATCATAGGTTCTATTGCAAAGTAATCACCCTCCATTGTGGCAAGTTGATCATGTTTATTAGGACAAAACATGGCAGATAGAACAACTGTCATGTTTACATGGAAGTTGGTAGGTCCAAGTAGATCTTCCTTCTTGCCCCCAATATGGTCCATGAATTCATCTAACCAAGCCTATGCTTCTTTTGGAAACATTAGCTCGGGCAACCTTTCTTCCCAAGTTATGCTAAAGTTCTATGTCTGCACTAGGTTTTCACAAAGAGTATCAACCAGCAACGATGGAGGCATTCCTCTCTCAGGCGAGATAGTTCCAAAACATATTGGCTCCGGGATCCATCTTGGTGTTGGTATCATTACCATGTCCTCTTGAGCTTTTCTTAGGATTCTGTACTTCCTAGGATAAGGGCTCTGTGGCATATGATCTCTTTCTCTCTCAGTCTTGCTATTTGCCTTTTCTACCTCATTTTTGCTTCTCCAATGAAGTTGATTTCTTCCCCCATAAGGTACTTTCTCAAACTTCACATTTTCAAAAGTTTCTGAGGCGGTGGGGACTTTTAATGAGTTCATGTGGGCTTTGTACTGCCTCTAAACTCTCCTGATCATAGAGGCTCCCATTTCTTTGACAGGCCTCCCATCTTTTCCTACTACATACCATTTCCGCCCGAGTTGGGCATAATGTTTCTTGGTGAATGGGGATATAATGTTCTTTGTTCTTCCCTTCATTCTGACATCATTGTAACTTGGTTGGGGGGGGGGGGGGCCTTAAATCCACCCATTTTGGTATTTTGGCTTCTCTGTCCTTCACCTTTTTAGAGGCTTCATAATTTCTGAATACCTCTGATAAGCCCTTTGGTTGAGAATCTCCCCTCAACCTTTGGAAAACATTTTTGGAAGTTTCTTTCTCAACTGACCCCATGATACTTCTGTGGACTTCTTATTCCTCTTTCTTTCTTCTTCTGATCAAGTTTTGATCAATAATAACTCCTGATGCTGGCACTTCTAACTCACATTCACACTGGCACTTGTTACACAACACTAACCCTTTAACTATAACTGCTTTGGGTTTCTCAGGTAGCTTGATAGTTCCTTGTGTTGGTCTGTCAACTTGTCTTCCTTCTGCTTTCACTTCCCAGGTGGCTTTTCCTTTCCCGTTTTCAGCCCAATTTAGGTTGATCATGTTTATTAGGGCTTCTGGGAAGGGATCCGTGTCAATCATCATATTGGCCTGTGGTTTTTTTAACAACAACTTTCCCTTCACTATTAGGTCTTGTATCCAATCCCTTAATTGAACACAGTTGGTTATGGAGTGATTGAAGGTATAGCCCAGCTTGCAATACTTCTTTCCTCTTAGCTCTTCTGGCTTAGGCATCTTTTTGGTGTTGTTGGGCACAATCACTTTTGCCCGCACCAACTATTTATAGATCTCCGAGGCCTTGGTTAGATCAAAAGAAGAACTCTGGTATTTAGGGTTCATAAGGATAAATCCACCATCATTCATCACCACTTTCTGATCCTTGATTGGTTGGACTAACCCCTTCACTATTAAAGGTTTGAAGGGGTAGTCATCTTTACCGCATACATGTCCACCCCTTCTCTTCCATGGCCATGACTTTCTTCTAGCTCTACCTCTTCAAACTCTACTTGGTGAATTGCGACTTTACTTTTGTAGAAAAGAGGCACCTTAGATGAGTGTTTCATTTGTTATTGTTCAAGTAACAGATTCTCATACTTTGTGGTAGCAATTACCAATTCTTGCAACTCATTAAATTGTACATCATAAAACTTTTTTCTTAAAGGCAGCCTCAAAGCCTTCTGAGCAATGGATATAAGTTGGGCATGATTGATAGAGAATTGGCACCTCATTCTTGTCCTTTTGAACCTCATCATGAAGTCTTATGTAGATTCATGTTCGTGTTGCTTCACCTCCACTAAGTCATTGATAGACATCTCGGGCTCCATCCCATAGAACTGCTCATAGAAAGCCATCTTCATTTGCCTCTAGTTAGCAATAGAATTGGGAGGCAAAAGAGAATACTATTGAGATGCTAGGCCAACCAATGAGTTCCCAAACAATCTTAACTTATAATTAGGATTGTCTTCGAATGTCATGCAATGGTTGGAGAACTTGAAGATGTGATCTCTAAATGATACACTGTCATTCTCCCCCACTAAAAGTGGGAAACGTAGGCATCTTGAAGTTGAGTGGAAAATGATGCTGCTCATCAATATACTCTGGGTATGGCTTTTGGTAAGTGATCCTAAACAGCGGGCGAGGTTGAGCATTCTGGGCCACCATCCTTCTCAACTCAGCTAACTCATCTCTAAGCTGCTGGTTAGCTGTATTGTTGTATGGCATATGTAGGGCTCCTCATTTTGGGCTGCGATTATTGCCCAAAAAGGTTTCCTTCTTTGGGTCAGGTTGTCTCCACTTGGCATTCCCTCATTTACTGGCTAATGGTGGGGGCCTATAAGGAGGAACCTTGTCTACCTTGGTACGCTCGCTTTTTCCACTGGATTCTCTTATTAACTACGGTATCCTATACTTCTTTCTTTCTTGCCCGCTTTGCCCCCTGCTACCCAGTGAAAATAATAGAGGGTCGGGCAACTTCGCTTTTAGCTCCAAATCTTTCCTTGTTTTTTCCTTTATCCCTCTTTTCCTCAAGCACATGAAATAGGGGGATAACTGGTTCTTTCTCAGGGCTCTCTTTCCTTATCATTTCCCTAGCATAACCATTCTTTGGAATAGAGTACTCCGGATGTAATCTTCTTTGCAGACTTAAGAAACAGAGTCTGGTTACTTCACCTCTAGTTTTCAAAGTGATCTTCTTTATACTTTTCAGCACTTGTACCATGGTAGCTTGCAAATCTTCATTGGTTACCTTCCTTCCTGACTTCTCGGATGAAGTCGGGCTTTCTAGAATAGCTAGTCCTTGCAGGGAAGGAAAATCCTCTAGATGATATGTCATGCTTGATCTTGGTAGACATTAGGGTGGCCTATATTTTGTGTTCCACCTGAAAGTTTTCTCCTTCCTTCTTTTTCTTAGCATACAAGACTATGAATGTCCCACTGGGCGTGCCAAAACTATGTTCAGGCATAGATTTCTCTGCAGAAGGATCCTTGGACCTCAGCACAGCTCCATAAGGGATTGGCACTTTGGATGTGTAGCCGGGCTCTTACTTGTTGATGTGCTACAAGAAGAGGATATAGTTAATTCTGAAAGGTGCTTTCGTGGGGCCTTAAGTATAGGCCTTGAGGCTCATAATCAAAACTAATTAAGTGCTAGGAGTGTTACTGCTATCTCAGTATAGCAGATGTAGAACAAGTGTGTTTTTAGTCGATTACTTGCGCCCCAAGTTACTCGGACTTCTTGTTATCAAAGGATTGGTGGGTTAAGTCCACATTAAGTTCTTTTTTTGCCTTGTAAATAAGGACTTTTAGTTCATAGTCTTGTATGTTAAATGAAGGGAGTCCAGGCCCTTTTAAGCCATTTACGTGGTTCTTGATTGATTTTAATGACAACACATCTATTAAACTAACCAGATCTATATGGAAATGGAACTCTTAAGATAGGAAAACTGATGGAAATAACTTGAATACATACTGGAGAATGCATTAAGTAATAGATCTACAAATTTAGAAAACAAACAAAGAGCCTCGGGCAAGATTTCACCTTGTCTCGCAAGGTTGAACCTCTTGCACTTGATTCTCTTTTAATTAACAGGGGTTTATGTGCTAAAAAAGGATGGGTGATAAACAAGTTTACACAATGGAATTGATACTACGCCACTGAGGGAGATTAAAGAGCTTTAAACTGGACAAGAGATAGCTTGTCACTAAAAATGACTGAATCTGGCTTGATTTCAGCATTTGGATGCAAATCTAGCTTGAGAGCAAAGTTTGTATGTTTGTTTGTTTGATTGGTTAAATGTCCTTGTCTCTAGGGCCTCTTCCTCCTTTTATAGGCAAATTAGCCTGACTGTTATGATTTTGTTCTTGCCCGAAAGCACTTGGAGGGTAGTGAGTCATCAGCTTTTTACTTGTAATGCCACTGAAAAGTGTTCTTTGGTTGGTAACAGGTTAGTCTCCATCACTTGTCACTTCAATGGTAAGCATGTGGCTTATATCTAGGCTGAGAAGGCTTCACTTTGCTTTTGGGCTTCAAGCAAGTCCCTTTTTAGTTGGCATCCTTGGGCTTTCATCTAAATCCAATGTTCAAATATTAACCCAAACAGAATGTGTACAGCATGGTATCTTCGGTCTTCATCATCTCCAAGGAACTAGTTCAGTTGGATTTTTCTGCTCATATACAGTTAATATTTCCGATGTTTCTTGTTTGATTCGAGCAATCGAAATCTTGAATGTTACAAGAATTTGGGTTTCCTTCTAGATTAATGTAGAACTTTTCCTTCATGTTTATAAAGTCAACTTCGGGTAATAGGTTGCTAGTCATTTCTCTATAACAACCTCCATCTCTACCTTATGCTTATTCCCAAACCCAAACATGGCTCTCATCCATTTTTGCTTGTGGCCTTCTGCAATGGTGTCCATGTTGTTATTTGCTATGTGCAATTTATCAGGCATGAACATGAGCCATCATATTGATCATAATCCTATGTGCTGCTTCTTGTTTCAGATCTTGGGTGGGAATGGTTTTGGCTAAATTAGATGATGCTTTGTTTGGTTTGCAGATTGCTATGACCCTTTAGCAAGGTTCTAAAAGACGTTAGGCGCTAGTCAGATGACAGGTTGGGGCCTAGTGCCTAGGCGGCGAGGTCTAGGCAGACTAGGTGGATTTAAGTAAATCTATTACATTTCTTGTAAACAAGTGTCTATTTAATACTTAAAATATATATAATTTCATCATAAACTACATAATAGAATGACATATATATTATGAAGTATTGGAATATAATGAAAACATAGGGAATAAGCATATAAGGTGTGTTCATTTAAGTATTCAGCAACCTAGGTAGGTGCCTAGGTGGGTGCCTAGGCAGGTCTGGATGGGCTAGGTGGGTGCCAAGGCAGTCTAGGCGGACGCCTTAGCAAGTCTAGGTGCCATTTCTTAAATTTCAAACGCTTAGACATTAATTAGGACTATGGCTAGCCACCTAGCGTCGTTAGAACAGTGCCCCTTAGATCCAAATGGAAATTTCACGATAACTTTCGACACTTACGATTAGACAGATGATGGTTGTCTGGTTAGTATACTATACTGTGATTCTACTCAAACCCTACATGGAGTTTTTGTTCAATTATATCTGTGGGAAAAGATTGTTTTAGGCACCATTTATAGTTGTTCAAAAGCACTTCTGCTCATAAGCATTTTTGTTATTAGAAACATTTTTAAATTTTTATTGGAAGTGCTTTTATAAATGACTAAAAGAGCTTTTGATGAATTTGTTTTTGAAACCAACTCTTAGTAAAAATCCATGTGGATTCTGGAAAAGCACTTTAAGTACGGTTCTTGCAAGAAACACATATTTGGTGCTTCTTCTAAAAAGCACTACCCAAAATCAATTTTACCAAATACGGTTTCAGTAATTTTAAAAGTATTCCTAACGAGCAGCTAGTCCTTAATGGAAAAGCAATTGGAAGTGTTTATTGAAGAAGCCCTTTTCATGTGCTTATCCACATAGCACTTATATAGGACCCTTAATACTATTGGGAAAAGTACAAGGCTGCAATTTTACATCTAGAATTGATGATTTCCCTTTTAACATCTTTATCATATTAGTGTATATTTGTTTTTGGATTTCTCAAGTCTTCGAACTTACATAATACCAATATGCAAATTAGTAACAGAAACTTTTGTTGCAAGCAAAAGTAACCATCCAAAATTTCTATATCGTCATGTGGACAAGCCTGGTTGGTAGCTTGGATGGGTTTGGCAACAGAATGAGGTGATTTGGTCAATGAGCGGTGCGTTTGCTAATGATCAAGGAAATTGCTCGGTACACAAGAATGATATACCACACTCCTGCAAGAAAAATCCTGAAATACTTTATCTCACGCCAGATGCCTTGTCGGAGAAACAAATCAGAGGACTGCTGCACGGGCGGTGTACTTGATGCTTGGGCTCCAAGTCATTCTCTTTCTTTGGAATTAATGTTGGAAACTTGGGAGGGCAACCTTTTGACGGACATCCACCTCTCAATCTTACTTTGAAGGCACCAGGTCTTGGTTACACCTGTGGACCTCTTTTGAATGTTGATCCGACAGTTTCTAGGGATTTTGGGGGTAGACGCCAACGTCAAGTTTTCAGTAAGCATTTTAATTGGCCAATACATGCATATATACAAATGAAATTGTTCTGTTGTCAGACTAATTGATAACATAAAATGCATATGTCAAAGACTGGAAAACTG